TAATCCTGTTAAATAATTGTGATCTTAATATTGACCAAAATAATCAGCAGCCCTACATGAACATTTTATTTAATTCATGAAATTATAGAACATTTGTTGTGTGAAACTGCACCTCTGCCTTCTTTCTGTACAGGCTAATGCTTCATTCAATGCATTTTTATTTTTAACTTTTGAAATGGTTTTACATTTGGTGAAGAGCGCATTATGACTAGTTTAGGACTCGAAACTCAAAGTTTAAGACTTGGACTTGACTTGGACTTGTTGGTCCTTGGCTTGAGACTTGACTCGGACAAGCCAGTCATGATCGGTCTGGACTTGGGACTCGATTTGAGACTTGACTCGGACATCGTAAAACGATGACTTGGTCCCACCTCTGACAGATAGTAAAGAAGGCGAGCTAACGATGTAGCACGTCGGCTAAATGCAGTAAATGTACCGTTAGTTCAGCCTGCAGCTGATAATACTATTACTGTAACGTTGCAGTGGGAGTTTACCTGAGTTTCCAGCTCTGTCTGTTCTCCCTGTCTGTCTATAGCCGCTGTCACTCTGCCTTTTTTCAGGAGGATTGTGCCGATATGCGGCTCGCTGCGCTGAATGAAAGGTACTGGTGTTGATCTGCCTCTGAGGCGGGAACGTTGAAGTAACAGAGCCTGAACCTATGGCCTGAACCTGTTGGAGAAAGGCCGGTGTTCCTGCCTGTATTGTGGTATTTCTGTGTGAAAGTGCTTATGCACGCCTGGTTGCAATCTCAATCACCGGAAACTCCATAATGCCCCTTTAACAATACAATGAAATACAATAATACAGTGAACATAAATGTTAATATAAGGACTTAATTGTTTTTATAATAATTTAATATAATTAAATAAATATAAATAAATTTAAATATTTTTTACTGCAGGAGCATTTTAATTAAAATACCCACCCCTACCAGGTGTACGCATAAAACATCACGTATTTTCATATCAGTGTTCAGATTTCAGTACAGGTCTTGTTCTCTCTGTATTTCAGAGAATAAACGCTTAGTTCATTGGTGTCTGTGTGATTTACAGCCTGGGGTCTGATCCAGTCTCCCCAGAGGCGGACTGATGATGATGATGATGGGATGAAGTGCGCTGCTGCTACCTTCTCTGTGTGGGCGTTGTTAAAAACTCCTGGAGCCGGGAGGCGGTGAGATTATTTACGCAGTCTGTCTCCCTCCCATTGGTCCCTCAGCTGAAGCCGCTGTGATGCGCTGCGGTGACACAGCCGAGTCTCCGGCGATAAAAGACAGAAACACGAGTGTTGGAAGGCGGACAGCGAGTTTCCATTTGATGGTAGATGCACCTCTGCGAGTCTTAACACGGCTGGAAGTATCTGTCCAACTCCTGAGGTACTGACTCAACACTTTCTACGTGACTGTCTGTCTGAACTTCTTTCTCTGCTTGGTGTTAAATAACAAAGGCGCCAGTGCGCGATTACGCACCGCGCGCGATCTCCATTGATCAGAAACATGGGGTGTTTAATGAGTTATTATTAAAACTGACTAAATTAAGGATGTGTCCAAGAAACAAGTCTTTTCATCAGTGCAGGTGAAGTTATGCCATAAATGTCTGGGGTCTGTGAGTCCTCAAAGAAAGCGGGTCTGATCTCATCCAGACTCACCGACACTGCGTGTGTTTTCTTTGTGTGTGTGGCAGGGATCTGGTGAAGAATGGAGTGGTATGTCCTGGTGCTGATGCTGAGCTTGCCGCCCTCCATCCACGCAGATTGCTCTTCACAGTGTCAGCAATGCGTGCAGCAGATGCTCAGCTCCGAAGCCGTCTTTAACAACCTGGTAAGACCAGAGACAGCCTCACCTGACTGACTTTACGTTTTCCGAGACAAGTGGAAACGAACTCTTGCTGGTTGAAGGATTTATCGGGCTTTTATTGCATTTTTTAAAAGTTAAAATTACACTCATTGGAATTGACATCTGAAATCATGAAACTTCAAAAAGTATTATTTTATTTGTCCAACAGAACTTTTATTTAATTTTTATCCTTTGTTTCCTAAATCCAGTTGTTAAAGACACCAAATGTGTCCGACTGAATGAGTAAACACCCAGAATCTGTGGGGCGTAAAGTCATGGCATCTTGGGTGTGAATCTTTCTTTAGAAGCAGTAAAGCTTTGGACTGTGTAAAGATTAGAAAGATAGCTCTTCACAGCTACTCTGTAAATCTAACGAGAAACTTGGGGTTCAGATTGTTTGCTCAAACGGACCATTAAACCCTTAAAAATGTACTCAACAAACAATAAAGGTGTGAGGCTGCCTTCTAGTAGCGCCTCACTGTGTTGACGCGTGTGCGCAGGCATGTCGGGTGTTTCACGCCTTTCTGTGCGTCTCCTGCAGGGGTGCGGTCCGGAGTGTGAGGGGCAGCTGGAGAGCTGCGGACGGGCTCCGGGGCTGGCGGACTTCAGCCAGGAGGAGGCTGCAGCGGAGGAGGAGAGCCAGCAGGCCGACCTGGTCAAGCGCTATGGCGGCTTCATCAAGAGGATCGACAAGAACAAGATCTTCGCCTCTCCATGGCGCGACAATTTCATTCTGAAGGCCGGAGGGATGCCAAAGAAATACGAGGACTTGTGGAAGAGCCTGGAGGAAAGGGGTGTTGCAGACGATGCAGGCGATGCGGATCAGATGCTCCACAGTTTGGTTAAACGTTACGGCGGCTTTTTACGCAAATTCGGCCCCAAGTCAAAGAGGAGTAGCTCTGTGGAGCAGGAGAGCGAGGAGCCCGAGGAGCTGCAGAAGCGCTACGGAGGCTTCATGAGGAGAATCCGACCAAAGTTGAACAACCTGAAGTGGGACAAGCGGTACGGAGGCTTTCTGCGCCGCCAGTTCAAAGTGTCAGTGCGCTCAGCGGAGGAGCCGTATTACTCCTATGACGACTGGAGCCTATAGAGGAAATCTGCTGAGAGAAAAAACTACTACGAACTTGTGCAGGTTCACGTGAAATAACCCCCATTTATCCAGCAAGCATCATATACCTGCCTGCCTTGCTTCCAGCCTGCTCGGTTGCCTTCTGTATAACTGCTCTCATCTCTGTGTTCTTGGCATCGTCGTCTTTCATTCAATAAAGGATGCTTGTTTCATAAAACTATGAATAAAAACACGTTTTTTTTGTTGTCCAACAAGTTCAGAAGAAGTTGTGCGACTGAATTCAGCCTCAGTGCGTTCCGTTGCACCGTGCCAAACTCCATTTAGAAAAAAGGCGATTTTCTTATTGACAGACCTGGACGTGACGAGTGTCTGTAAAAGATAGAAAAAAATCGGCATACGTTAAAAACACTGAGCGGCACTTTAAATACATTTTAAATTTCTACTCTAAATGTGGTTCACATCCTAATTGTTGGCCTATCCTATGATTAAGGTTGGCTTGTTTGGGGAACTATGACGGTGAAACAAAATACTGAAAAGCAGTAGGGTGGGGGGCGTTTGTGCCAAATTTACCCTGAGCTTATTGATCTTTGAAATTAATCTCAAACTGGCAAATGTACAGCCTGCCCATTACCTGACCTTCACTGTCAAACCACCAACCATACGGTGTTGTGCCTAAAGTTTGATCTATCTGTAAAGCAAAACCAGAATTCACACTGATCACTGATCATTTCTGTCAGACAGTCTATCAAAGACCTTCACAGTCGGTGTTCATCAGCCTGATCAATCAAATGATTATGCAAACACTCCAACGGGCAGCCTGACGACAGATCCGCACATCTGGGAGCAGGAGAACCAAAAAGCCAGACCAGGTCGGAGCAGCAGGGAGCCCCTGAACAGGGAGACTGTTGCGCCATCTTGTGGCCAAGCACGTTTCTCCTACTGGGTCAAAAAATGTTCATTAAACAGACAACTGTGTTCTGTTGGCAGCTTTTGGTATTCTGATTAAGAAGCTACATTAAAGCTGAAATGATCAGTGCGTCTCCTGCATGACTGTCCGGCACATCCTGGTTTAGCTGGTGTTTTGGTCACATGGTGCAGATCCATAAATCATCTTCTGTTTGATCAGCTGAGGCAGCAGGGGAAGGTAACTGAGGAATCCACATTATGGAGTTGATCTCTGGATCCTCTGGTTCTTAGAAGCTGGTTAAAAAGTAATCTGGAACTGTCATCATAGCAACATGTCCTTAAACCCAAACCTGCAGAGGGGCATTGACAGCAGAGACATTTAGACTGAACCACAAAGAATTGATCATTCTGAGATGGAAACATGCAGCTTACTGAGAAACATGATGATCTGTCTGTGTAACTTTAATTAAGAAGAGGTACCTGCACTTATACCTGATGAAATATTCAACAAAATAAAAGCCTCTACACTAAAAACGTGGTTTAATAAACTGAACCATATAACTAAACTCAAAGATTCTGACTGTTAAAGACCAGCAGGGACAGAGCTCTAATTTAAAAACTAAAACTGCAGAACTCACTTTGATGAAAAGAGTTTATGTGATTAAGCCTGTATCTGATTGATTTCTGATAATCACTGAAAGTCAGACAGCTGCAGTGACGGGTGAAAAAATGGTGGAGCAACAATCTGTTGCCCCAGTGCATGCTGGGAGGGCTCCCAACACACCTACCCCATGAAACTGCAGTCATATGGTATAAACTGTCGATCACATTACCTCCTAACATCTAAGTCTAGATGCAACGCAGAGTGTAAAACTGCCCTCTTTATTCATCTGATAACTTCCTGGGAAATATAAATTATATAAATAAAAGCTTGATGATCAATATCACTCTTCTCAGGGGAAAATGCCAAGTTAATGTTTGGAGGTAGCAAAACATTGGTAACCTTTTATTGTCTTAATGAATTTAGAATCTGGTAAGTCATCAAGACTTGAAGATGGCGAGCTGCTTTCTCTTTTTCTCCTCCTTTAGAGGGATGAAAAGAGACAAGGGAAAAGGTAAAAAAGTCCCAGTTCCTCTGCATCCACTTCACACTGATAAGACAGGATGATATTAATATTGAACAGGACGTAAAGACACTGTTCTGGAAAACTGAACATTTATTACCAAACTGAACGACGCTGCTGTCTCCAGCTTAAATGGATCACATCCCTACACAAACAGCTGTATCAAATATATTATTTACAAATCCATATTTACAGCGGACATCAGACGCCACTCTGACAAACTGCATTGAAGGACGTGTAACAGGGAGGCTCAAGCGTTGAACACGCCGCGGTCTGAAGTCAGAAAGTGGACGAGCCATCACTCAGTCCAGAGTCCAGGATGATGAGGTGAAGGCCGTTCAGGAGCAGCTGCCTCACTGCTCCCCCTCTTCCTCTTTGACCTGCTCTGGCTGGCCTTCGTCATCGCCGTCCGCCTGGTCGTCCTCTTGTGAATCGGTTGCCGTGGCGTCCACCACACTGATGCTGCTGACCTGCTGTTGCACTGCGGTGGCCAAGCTCTGCAGCGGGGCCGGCAGCGTCACCAGCTGGAACTGAGGGCCGACCACCTTCACGAAGGAGCCGGTGCCCTCCTGACCTGCTGCCGCGGATAGAACAGTCAGGTTAGAGGCGTCGCCCGTCAACTCCGACCCAGAGAGCGAGGAGGTCAGGAGTGTGTAGCCCCCCAGGTTGGTGCCAGCTGGGCCCCCCGCGACAGTCAGCACCTTGCCCAGCGGCAGGCTGGTCAGCTGGTTCAGAGGCAGAGTGATCTGGGCTGGAGTGGCGTTGACCGAGGCCGGACCGGAGACGGCACGGGTCAGCCGGGGACGCTTGGGTGCAGGGGGTGCAGGGACCGGGGTAAGGGTCATTAGGACGTTGTTCAGGTGCTGGGATTTGCTCTTCAGCTCCTTGGCTCGCTTCCTGTGCTCGTCACACTGCTGCTCCAGAGCTGCAGGAGGAGACGAGGCGTCAGCAACAGACAGAACACTTACAGATACAGGTTCTAACAACAGGACTATAGAAGAGCGTCCTACTGACAGGCCAGGCTCCGCGTGTACTGCTCTCTGTAACGGTCCATCTGGCTCTTATGGCTCGCCAGAACCTTCTTCACCAGGTCCAACATCCCAAAGTTCTGCACTGTGTTGTTCAGCAAAACAGCATCTGAAAAGCGAAACTGCAATGTTCACTGGAAAGCAGACATGTCTCAAATTTCATACAGTCAAGTGCGTTTCCATATGTTTTAACGAACGAAAACCTACTATAATCTTTTCATAAAATCGATGTGATTGTTAAAGTCACTTTTCGTCAACTGACCAATCACAGCCTGGATGGGTCAGGACATAAAAAAGGCTTGACGTGCTACAGTAAACTTTCAAATGTTGAACTCCAGCTACATGAATGGTTCTGATTATTGATGAAATAGTAGCATAAACAAATTAAGAGACCAATGTAGGCCATTTTTCTTGCACAAGGATTTAAACTACTCAGAAACATGAAACTGCTGTTTGGTCCAACTGGAATTAATATTATATTTGTGGTGGGCTATATAGTATAGCCTACTTTTAGGCCTATATAAAATGACAATGCATATAGAACAATTATATAATTAATATATTAACATATTAACAGTATACTATTAGATTAAATTAGTGAAAGTGGAAAGTTGCAGTGGGCAAATGCAGATTTCCACTGCACGGGATGCCAGTGTGTGTTCCTTCTAGCCCCTAGAGCAACACGTTCCCCTTATTCTGTTTTACTAAAGTTACTGTAATACCGTTCAGAAGTCTTGTTTACATTAGGTATGGTGTGGGTTGTGTGGGTGCTGCTGGTATATCTTGAATCCATCCATGGTTCAAAAACTACACAAGCACCAATCACAGTAAGGTCTTTTGTGATGAGTGATTTTTGAGTGTGAGTGTTTTAAATTTCAAAAATTTTCAAAACATCTGTTTCAATATTTTAAAAAGCTTTCGAAAAAATATTAAGGCCAATGCCAAGTGTCCAGATACACGGGTCTTCAAATCCATAGTCCTCCAATGGTTTCACACATGGCTGTGCGCCTTCACAAGAAGAAGGAGCACACACGTAATATAAATATTTATATAATAAATAGTTTGTTAAACTATGTTACTTGAACATTTTTCTCTGTGCTCCTAAATATTTTGATTTAGGGGCACATGTGCTCCTTGGGAAAAAGCGTAGAGCCCTGGTATCCAGGTGTTTCCAGTTCTACTGTACATGTTTTAAAACAACATAAAGCCTTTAGTGTCTCAGAGGGAGCTGTATGGAGGGTGCTCAAGCGATGTCTCAAATCACATCCATCTGACACTTTTCGAGGTCCAATTCGTCCTCCCAACAATCTTGAGCAGAGGCTGGTCAGAACAGATTATCGAGCCAAATGATCCTGTAGTGAGAGGGGTTTACAGACACAACCTGAAGGTCGCAGACTGGATCAGAGGTTCCCCGATTTCAAACTCGTTTGATATTTACAATTTGAAATCAGGGAGCCTCCGATCAGAACCCTGCAGCAGCCAATGAGAGCGATCTGAGCGGGAAGCGTCTCCAGTGTGTTGTGTATCTGCGCTATAAAATGTATAAACCTTCTGTAACAATTCACCTTACACCAAAACAGCAACGGGAAAGTACATTACGCAAAATCCAAGGTAACAGGCGGATCTGATACCTGCTGAGGTGATTACAGAGGTTGACTGTACGGAGATCTGGATTAATTAATTTTGGTGTTGTTGTACACCTGCTTGTCCTGCTGTAAAATAATGTTAAGTAGTTGACACAGCCTTGGTTTTCACCACAAACACCTTTTGTACTCCAACGAAGGTTAAAGTCAAGGCAACTGGACTTGGTTGAAGATACTGGAAGACGTTTCGTCCCTCATCCAAAGGACTTCTTCAGTTCTGACTGATTGGCAGGGAAACTCAGCTATTTAACCTCAGTGGGGTCGTTATCCTGGGTCATCGATACCGCTGGTTCGTTAGTGTTCCTTGTTGCTGTGACGACAGTCATTACAGTCGTTAAGACTACCCGTGGCCAAGACTGAACGACCATCGTTGGTATCTTCACCTGAGGCCAATAGGTTACGTTTGTTGAGTTTCCTGGGTATGACGATGACGATGACCCTGGCAAACGACCCCACTGAGGTTAAATAGCTGAGTTTCCCTGCCAGTCAGTCAGAACTGAAGAAGTCCTTTGGATGAGGGACGAAATGTCTTCCAGTATCTTCAACCAAGTCCAGTTGCCCTTGACTTTAACCTTCGTTGGATAACTATGACCTGGATGACTGAGAATCTTCATAGACACCTTTTGTACTGTAAAAAAGGAGGTTTTGAGGATACTACTTTTTTTCTGTTGAATGAAATGTGTCGGCAGGGTCAGAAATGTAGTAGGTTACTAAGGTTACAGTCAATGGACCTACATACAGTCAACAGTACATGTACATTCACTCATGTACATTAATGCATTGCCTTTATAGCCGTACACACCCTAAGCTACATTACATACATGCACTCCCTTGTTTGCTTTGCTGTTCATACCAACAATGGCTGCCACAAATCAGCAGGGGACCATGGTGGGAAGTGATGCGCATGAAGAAAATGCCTCCTCTCTCAGACTAGGAACCAAATGCCAGCTTTCCTGAGGAAACAGACCCACACAGTCACCTCACCACTAGACACAACCAAAGCGGCATCACAGAAATAACCTCCATGTTGACTTTTTGTATCTAGATCCACCTGAAGAAGAACGACAACCACCGTGGGATGATGATGAGGATGCTGAGGCAGTATCGATGGTGGAACAGATAAAGGAACTTCAGTTGAAGGTGGAGACTTTGGAAAATCGGCTCAAAGACACAATTGACAGCACACTCAATCGGGAGGAGGGTCTCAGAGCAGCTATTGAGACAATGGCTAAGGAGGCTAAAGAGTATATTGACACTAAGATGCAGACATTTGACCAGGTTGTGGTGGCCTGCTTAAAGCGAAGTGATGAGCAGTGGGGTAATGAACTGGAAAAGACTTGCAACAACAGTTGTTCCTCTTGGAGGCCAGCTAGTTTCTCAACACCTGCAGAGGGGTTCTACTGATCTCACTGATTTCATTGAGCAGTGTGAAAACCTTCTCACCCTGACCTCATAGGCACACTCAATGCTGTTCTAAAAGGTCCTGCACGAAGCTGGTGGTTAGCTTCCCACGGCAAGATAACTAACTAACTAATTTGGCCTACGATCATCGAGCACTCTGCCTGTAGTGGAGACCAGATGTGCCAGAAGACCAGATCGTGCATGTAACCCAAGGTTGGCCAGTGGGCTGCAGGGCATCGTGTCTACTGTGGACCAGATGGTCAAGGTGGGGTTGCTTATTGAGAAGGATTGGAGTAACTCTAAGGATTATTGGTCTCGTGTACAGCAGTCACACTCTTCAGACCGCTCTTCCAAAAGACCCAGCAAAAAACCTGAGCATGGTCAAGGCCGGGGGCATAGTGCGGATGTGGCCACCGTTCTTGGTGTTCCAAATCTCCTGGTGGTGCCAATAGCCATCCGAGGCTGCAGTGAAGATGCTGTCCTTGATTCAGGGTGCACTTACTCCCTAATGAGTAAAACCCTGTAGAACAACGCAAAGAAGGTAAGGCGAGACACTGAGTGCGAGTGAAATTCCAAAGTTTATCATTGCAAATGGGCAAGAGAGAAAAGCTATAGGGACGACCACCTTGCTCCTCTCCCTTCACGAAGCCCATGTCATCGTCAGCATACATGTACTCAGTGATGATCAACTTTGCGTGCCTTTGCTGCTGGGCTTAGATTTCATGTGCGTAATCCAAATTGTCCTGAAGCCCCACCTGAGGAAACAGGTGATGCCCCTTTTCCCTTTTGAACACACAGCCTGAGCTGGTTAGTGCAGATAACATTATTTTCTTCTCCAGGACTCCGGAGGAGCATCTGTGTGACCTGGAGGCAGTCTTTAAAAAACTTCACAAGGCACATCTGACTCTCAATCAAGGTTATTATAGTTTGGCTTTTTCATTAGTTTCTATTTTTTATTTATTTACTTACTTTTTGTTTGTTTTAGTTTTTAACGTGGGTTTGCTAATTTAGTTTAGTTTTTATTTTTTGAAAATGCTTAGTTTAAGTTTAGTTTTTATTAGTTTTAGTGTTACTTTATTCTTTATTGCCGCAGGATGCCAAGCTCAGATTAGTTCAGTCCAGTTTAGTTTTTTCACCAAAACATTAAAATACAAGTAAAATCATTAGAAAAAAATGCAGATTTGTGAAAAGGGACACCTTGTACATAGGGGCCCAAACACTAAGCAAATATAAATATTTGTAGCAATCTACAGTATAATTTCTAACCTACA